AGCAAGTGGTCAAAGTAATGGCAAAATGTGATGGCAAAATGCACGTGGCATAAAGCCGTGGCATAGAGCACCAGCTCTCCCTGATGTATGATTTTATTGAAACTTTTTAATTAGCCAAGACAGAAATTTGGACCACTACTTCTTAACTTACTAAAATTTTAGTTTTTTAACACGCCAAGCTATGTATAAAATATGTACATGGCTTATCTTGTTTTAACTAAAAGTTATGAGCAATATTTTTAACTTTATTATGTCTGAAACTAAGGTCTTAAATCCTCTAAAAACACTAATATGTTTTTTAACCTTTATTAGAACATGTACTACTTCTCAGGCATCTAAGACCTTTTACTCACTAAAAGCACTTAACATTTATTCCACTTACTTTCTCACTTACTCCATATACTCACTCATTTTATTTGAAGGCTTTAATTCAGTCCCTGCACTCTGATTTCTCTTTGAAAAAAATCAGAGAGACTCCTGACTTACTGACTTCAACATCTCCCTCTCTGCTTTGAACTACAAAGATTTTAGTTATTAAAAATTTTGTCTACTAAATTTTACCTCCATATATGCCAGATTATTTGACTGTTGCTGTAACTGGAAACAGCATTAGGGTATTCACATTCTGAGCAGACAACATGGAAAAGAATGATTAAAAAAAAAAATCTCACCAGAATTTCCTCTGTATGCAATACCATGCTGACTTAATAAAACTCTAAGTTTTTTTATTTCTTCGGAAAGTTGCTTGTATTCCTAAGAAAGAAAATACATTAAAAATAGTTCTCCCACTTTTCAAATACATACCTAAATAAGGAGCTTTTAAGAAAAAAATGCCTCTCTGCACAGCTGTTACACCTTTTGGCTTTAAAGATTTTAAAATGCTTGTTCCAAGAACACAGAGCAAATTTTAGAGAAAGATGTATGTCTGTGTTGCCAAAAGAGGAGGCAGCTTTTTTCAAGCCCAAGAGTAAAACTTAGGAATGCCTTCTGTAACTATTTCACATCTGTCCTGTAACTAGCATTCTATCATAGAATAAATCTTAAGTTTGCTTCAGGACTACCCTTACTTTATAATTATCATAAATCTGCAGTCTGGAAATTAGTCAGCTCCTCAACTCTTGACCTAGTAACTTCATGTTCTTGCTCTCAGCAGTTTCTGTTAACTGACAGACAGGGATTGCTTAGTTCTTTTGAGACTCAAACCATATACCTGAAGTCTTAGAGAAGCCTGTATTTTTGTTGTGTTTCGGTGTTTACATGAATAACGATAAAGTAAAAGAATAAGTATTTAAGATTCTATGGCTACCAAACCAGCCAATTTATGTCAATTAAGCTATGATGAAGCCAGAAAAATACATAGAAATTATTAAATACTGTGTTGTTAATGAGTGGGAAAAAAAAAAAAAATCACGTGAATGTTCCGCCTCCTATGAGATCAAAATGGTGATCTTTGTATTAAAGTATATTCAGCTTAACCATAGTTTTATTTGGTTATATTCATGAATTACTACATCGTGTTTTGTCTTTGCTATATTTTTCAAATAAAAAGACAACAGCAACTGATTCTCTACATTATAATGAATGAATTCCCTTCCACGCTCTTTTTGTGATGGTCTTTTGGGCTGAGCATACCTTCCAAATCTGTTGGAGAAGAACTACTCACATACATAAAGAGTCATTCAGAAATAAATAGAGCCATTCTGCCTTTTGCTGGTGCAACAGCCAATGCATTCTTACACAAGTCTGGGAAATTATCCACAGACAGAAGTGTCAACATTCTTGAGGCTGGTTACGTATGTATCTTCACTAGTAATTCCTTCCTGTCTCCAAACTGATATTCCCCAGAAAGAGTTACCTACAAGGTGTTCACAACCCAAGTGCATACACTAATGCCTTCATAACCCCCATCTTCTTACTCAGCATTCATTTTTGCTGGTTTGTTTTTAACTTAGGGGCTATAATGAAGATACCAAATCACACTATATGCAGGCTGCTACATATTGAAACCAGAAAAGATAACCCCATGAAGAGATTCAGCTGAATACCAAGGGCATTCACATAATGCTCTCCCACTGATACTGTCATACAGTAAAAAGGTGGCAATTCCACATTGTAAATATTATGCTCTATACCTTACTGCACTTTTCCACTGTTTCAAATTCCAGAGTTATTTTCTTATTCTGTTTTCCAACTTCGTTTTCTTCTGTTGCTTTTAGAAGTCCTGCTTCCTCAAAAATCTCTTTCAGAATTTTTTTGTAACCCTAAAAAAGAAAGTTTCCAAAAGGTGATAGATCAATCTACTCAACTCTCATCTCTGCTTGTAATTTGCACTGGCCATTCCAAGTCCTCAAGCTTCATTACTAGTTCATACAGTAGTTACAGAACATGAAAATTACTATTTGCCAACTGCAGAATAAACACATCTACTCCAAAACAAGAACCTACAGAAGCCAGGCTTGGCTATTTGACAGGAATTGGTTTTTTACCAAATAGAGTTGGAAAAAATGAATGAACCTGGTCAGTTATTAGTTCATCGTACAGAAGCTGCTCTGCTTCATCCCACTTCCTTTGCAGTGCTTCAGTCAGAGTTGGATAAACTGAAAAATGGAAGTCAAACCATGTAAAAACCAAGAGCACTGTCCTGCATTAGTTAATTCCTCCTCTAGTATCACACAAGAACTCAACGTTTCTACACATTATACAGTCTCTACGGCTTTCAAGAGCTGGGCTTACACTTAAATTGCACTTCATGCGTTTAAAGTTTCTGGAAAATGACCAGAAAATTTTCTTATTTCCAGATACAAGGCCTCATATTCCTTTGCTCAATGTAATTCTAATTGAGCTTTTTTTTGTAATCTAAGTCAATGGGCAGATACTAGAGGGCTTATTCCTACAGTCCAAGAAAAGAAAAGAAAAATCATTCACCAGGTCTACACTAGCAATGACAATTTATTTCAGAAATACTTCTGTGTTACAATGACTGGGATTTAATAAACACTTCATATTATATGTAAACATTTAATACTAATCTATTTTAAGGTACTAACTCAGCCTAAAAATGGACGCTCTGAGGACAGTGTAATATGCCACTGTTACACAAAGTATTTTTTAAACCTTACCTAAAACTGAGTGGGGATGGCACACGAGAGGAGTCTCAAATGTCAGAGAGTAAACACAAGTACTTGGCTCAGACACATAAGCCAATTTATTGCTCTTTCCACAAACAAGATGAACCTAAACATCAGTAAAAACTAAGATGAGAAAAAAGTCTACATGAAACAATACCACTACTGATGATCAATTTGCTGTGTTCCAGTGCCAGTAGATGCATTTCTGTACATACTGTCACGTCAAAGTTTCCAGCGCTTTTTTTAACTTTTTCCGACAGAAAAAGCATCATAGCAAGCACACTGTCCATTTATTTTATCAAATGTGAAAACTGCTTTCTCTAATGGGAAATTATTCTCCACACCAACCATTATTCCTCTGACTATTAAGCACCATGTTCCCAGCAAGAATGAGAGTAAAAAGGACAGTGTATAGGACACCCTTTAGAATTTCATCTAACATAAGCACGATTTTCTTAAAATTTTATTTCTGACCAATGTGCTAATTTAAGTCACATCTGCAGAGAATTGTTTTCATATTTAGATTTGCAGCACAGTATTTCCTGTCTTCAAAATGAAATGCCAGTGAAATATTTCAATCACAGTATCAAAGGTCATACAAGAATATGAATTATTTCTGCAACTTCTATGGGAAATAAAGATGTTAAGTGGGCACCTCTGTTAGAGCATAACGTTTTAACCTTGGCCAGGATATGGCAGCCAAGTTGGCAGCTAATCACAAGAGATTCAACAAGGCCAAGTGCTGGGTACTGCACTCGGGTCATACAACCCCGTGCACTGCTCCAGGCTTGGGCAGAAATAGCTGGAAAGCTGCCTGGTGGAAAAAGGCCTGGGGATGCTGGTTGACAGGTGCTACTCATCAGGCTTGTGCTCCAGACCCTTCCACAGCTCCTGTGCCCTTCTCTAGACATGCTCCATCACCTCAAAGTCTTTCCTGAAATGCCTCTAGTACTTGTTCTTACACCATGCTTAGCTTCTCAGCAGGCTATTGTTAACTGCCTAATTCTCTTCCCTCCTTTTCCCTGGATGTTTTTAATAGGCTGACATCTTGAATTCAACAAAGAGCTCTTTTCTTAATATTGCCTGACAGAAATTACAAAGCACCGTACTGTATTTCTACAGTAATAATATTAACAGTCTATTTATCAAGGAAAAAAATAAGTTGTAAGTAACCAATGAGAAAACACAAGTAAATGTCTTCAAAATTTTATCCTGATTCTAGCTTTCCTCCTCCATTCATTCATATAGTTCCTGCAGGAATCTCTATGTTTTCTATCACAGCTTAAATGATGACTTCTTCAGGGTAGGAATGTTTCAGTTTGTAATCTCACAAGTGTATGCAGAGTCATGCTGTCTGAATTAGCATAGTCTAAGTTATTATACCTTTGTCTGTCTGCTCTTAGTTTCACAGGAGTCTCCTTCTCTCATCCACATTCCAACAAATGTGTTGTTGTCAATTTCCCATTCATGCCAGATTCTGAAAAAAGAGGACACTATTTTGTTTTAAGTTACTGGACAGAAAAAGATGAACCATCAGAAAGAAAACCAAGAATACCCTTATACCATGTTCAGTTTAAGTGTATATACTTCGTTTTTGTTGTCTTCGTATTTACATTTCCTACAGCCAACACCTTGGAAGCAGTGTAGCTCGTTATCCAGGCTGCTATACAGGACACATCAACAGCACTTTTTGAGAGCAGAGTTTTGGATCAAATTCCAGTTTACTAACTATATGCACTTAGAAATCTGTGTTTAAGAGCAGTAAAATACAGTTTATAGATTGATGCCACAAAAAAGTCCATGAGGTTAAGTACCTGGTGCAACTCAGTCTGATTGCAGGATTTTTAGTGCTGGTGAGAGCACCTACAAAAACTACTCTACTTCCGCTAGCCCAAAAACAAATTATACCGTCAGCATGGTGATGTACCAGTTTCCTCATGTACTGGCTTACCATTCTGCACATAGGAAAAGAAGAGACATCTATATACAAAACATCTAGAAAAGGAATGGTCTGGTGTATACTTGGATTTATTTTAGCTATTATGATTTGGTGGTATTATGATCTAGGGTTTTTTAATACTTTGGGATACTTTTTTTTGGGTCTACGTTAAGCATTTCATAACTCCTTATGTTTAACAACCATTAGGCATAAAGCACTCTTTTAATTTTGTAATTTTTGTATTTTAACTCAAACTGCAAATCGTTAATGGACATGAAATCTGTGTTAATATAAGGCGGTAGGTAAGCATTATTGAATTTCTCACATGAACATATCATACTTGCAGTAGGCATTGGTTGTTAATCAGTCTCCAGCTAAAACAGGTGGTTAATATTTACCAACAAAAAAAATTATGAATTTTTCAAGACAGGGTATTTTTATGTCTAATGCCTTGGGAACTACCACAACCTAAGCTGACGAACGGAAGAATCCTAATTTTAAAACTGCCTCCTTTTTGCAATCTATGAAGTGGCCTGCTGACAATATAGCTAAAACATAAAAGGTCTAAATGCCTTACCCTAAAATCCCACTATAGGCATTCCATCGAAAAGTCTGCTCATGCTGAGTGACATTATGGAAAGGACAAAACTCATACTTGTACCTTAAAAGGAGAGAAAAGAAATAGAAAACAAGAAATGTTTCAGACTGGAATAAAAAACTAGTTAATTCCTAGTAAGTATATAAACAAAGATCCAAATCCATTACTCACGTGGATTCCACAAAACTGAAGCACATGCCAGCAAGCCTAAAGAGATGTGCAGGGCCTAAGAACATCACAACATGACATAAAGGAAAAATAACGTTTTGGTTAAATTGAAGCAAGCTACTGCAGTGACAAAAGTGCAAGGAGTATGTGACAAATTCAGTTTTCTGCTGTACAGAAGGAAATGTTTATCTTCCATATGAATTACTTTAAGTTCTCGCTAGCACTATACTGGTTTGCGTTACAATCTTTAACGTTTTTCATTCTCACTACCCAGTGAAATAGATTTTCAACAACAAAAATGAGAAACCTGCGCAAAAATAAACATTTGGAGGCCAGGTCCATAAAAGGAATCATCAGTGCAGATCCTGTCAAAATCTAACACTGAAATCACTGAAACTCTTGCTTGTCAGCTGTCTGTCTCCAAATTCATTCAAACTCTGCAAGTTTATAGCAGCAAAGCTTGTTTGTTCAAAATGTTGACAATGTTGCACATTTAGGTTTCTCCGACATTCTTAAACTGGATATTCTTTTTTGCTGTTTGCCTTCATGGTCTGATCCAGGTAGTATTCAACAAGATAAACCTTTTGCTGTCAGACAGGTTAGCAGTTGCAATTCTACTCTTGTGGTATTGACTACGAGGCTTGCTGCCAAAGGAATCCAAGATGGGTAACTTGTCATTAAAAGGGGGCGAAAGGTTCTGAACTACATGCTAGAGGAGTACCTCAGTATCTCTTGTATAAGGAAATTATCCTTAGGTTTACTAAATATTTATGAGGAAAGATGAAAAGAGATTACAAAGCATATAAAGTAAAATCCCATCCTGGATTCTAACTCCCCACTGTCAAGATTGCACGGGTACTTTTTCCAAGTATCTAGACAAGCAATTCTACAAAGGTCAGACTACCAGAATCATGCCCTCCAGAATACTTTAACCACTGGCATACAGGCAGTTCTCTTTCCCAAGTATTTTTCTGACTGTATAATCTTGCATTTCATTCTAGAGATGGACTAGGCCAAAGGGTTTGCTCCTCTACTACATGAAATCTGTGCCCCAGTGATTAGGATGCTCTCCTTGCAGATGAAAAAAAGCAAACATGCATATCCAAGAGGAATGCATTAAACTCATGTCTCCCTTTCCAGTGCAGATACTGTAGAAGAGAAATTACCAGAACTATTACCCCAACTGTTTTGTAGAAAAAAAGAACAAGTACGGTTTCCATGCTAAAGAAATAATTCTGCAAGGCAGGGTTCCATGCCCTAGGTTCATGTTCTACATACACAGTCCCAATTTTTGGCTACATGTAAGATCCCACAACAAATAAAGAAGGATTTCTGGCGTGCTCTCCTATTTTCCTGCTACTTTTGGCATCTTCCCATTCAGCATTCTATTACTAATCCCATTTCTATCTATTTCATATTTCACATGCAGTACATGCAGAATTATACACTTGCTTTGGCTTTATAAAACAAGACAGAAAACATTAAGCATAATCACATTCAATTTCATCATACCAAAATGTCTTTCTTGAATCTGAACAAAGTTTAAGTCTGTGCCTAAGGTTAGCAGAAAGAAAAGACTTACTCCCTTTTGCTAAGTCTTTGCTTTCAGTGATTATCTGTTCTCCTCTCATAGAGGGCCTAGAATTTTTTACATTCCTGTTTATTTTGCTTGAGTTGTGTATTTATGTTGCAACACCTAAGCTATGTGTGAAACGGAGCCCCTCTGACTGGTTCCAGGACTACTCTTAGGACTTTTTTTATTTAAACTATTTTTGGGTATATTAAGTACTACCAGATAATGGGATGACTTTCATATGATAATCTCAGTGACGTCGAAGATTGTGTCAACAAGAAAAGAGTGTTTACTGTGGATCAAAAGGATCTGTGACAGGCTAGAAAAACACAGAATAAAACATACGGATAGTCCTGTCACAAAAACGGAATTAACAGCATTGAGACCTGGAACCACCAGTGAAGTTAATCTAGGTTTTAATCCTTCAGGAGCTTAATGAAATATATTTGCCCGTGCTTATTTTCCATGATGCTTGTAAAATCACATGCAAAATTCGGTTTTGTGTGCATAATGTCGAAATAGACTATTTGCACTGCAAACAGCTGTTACTAAACGATAAAAGCTGTAAAAACGAAAAAAAACAAAAAAAATAAGAAAAAAACAAAACCAAAAAAACGGTTGCATGTACCTGATACTGCAGACGGGGACATCTTTGGCTGCAGCCTATTTGTTTGAGGCAAGAATGGGTTATTCAACCTTTCAAAAGAAGGAAAGTTAAACGTTTAAGGCTGAGTTATGCATCTGGCCGTGCATACACCCTCCCCTACCTGTGTTGCTCAACACCGACAGCCGCTGCCCCCGGGCCAACAGCGGGGTCTGCGGCAGCGGCCCGGCCCGGCGCCCCATCCCCGGAGGAACAAACGGGCTGGAGCGGGCGCAACGGCAGACAGACCCGAGCCCGCCGAGTGCGAGTGGATCGCGGCACGACACGGCGAGCAGGCGGCCACGTACCCGAACGTATTCGGCTCCTCCACGATCTTCATCTTCCCCGCCCAGGCGAAGAGACCTGCGAGGAGAGAGCAGTTGAACGCGGCGGATGGACCAAGCCGCCGGCGCGCCCGCCCGCCCGCGCCGTAGCCGTAGCCGTAGCCGTAGCCGTAGCCGTAGCCGTAGCCGTAGCCGTAGCCGTAGCCGTAGCCGTAGCCGTAGCCGCAGCCGCAGCCCCCGCACCCACCCAGCGCCGCGCCCAGCGCCGCCAGCAGCAGCCCCGCCGCCATCGCCTCTTCCGCGGGAAGAGGAAGCGCGCGGCGCCGCGGGGCGGGGCCTCCGCCGAGCGCGGCCATGGAGCGCGGCCGGCGCGGGGGCCGGCGCGGGACTCGCAGCCTCGAGACTTTCGCGGCGGAAGCGGAGGCCGCGCTGAAAGGTGCGTGAGGCGCCGCGGGAAACGGGTCCTGCCGAGCTGTGCTGAGTCGCCCTTGGGCACTGATGTACACTTGCTGTTTTCAGCTTGCCTGGAGGGCGAGAGGGCCGCGGATGGGGGCGCTCGGGAGGCCAAGTTCCCCTGCCCCCTTGCCATGTGGGAGCTCGGACACTGTGATCCCAAGAAATGCACGGGGAGAAAACTAGCCCGGAAAGGTTTGCTGCGAACCCTGCGCCTCCGCCAGAGATTCCCGGGCGTCGTCCTGAGTCCGCTGGCCACGGAGTACGTCTCTCCCGCTGACAGGTGCGGCCCCGGTGCCTGTGGGCAAAATCCGGACGGCGAGGGAAGTGAGGGAGGTGCAGACTGTGTTGGAGAGAGGTTCAAATACCGTCCTGATGCTCTATTAGGGAGAGCATTTTAACCACTGATTCATGGCTGAAACTTATACGGAATAAAATTGACCTTATTACACTACACTGATGCATGAACATGAGAAACAGAGCCGTTTTATCCGATCAGCTTGACATTTTTACACAGCTAGTATCAGATGACAAAAGCATCTGTAGGTCCCAATGAAAAATCAAGGTGCACGTCTTGTAGGCTAATTTCTTCAGAGCACAGCCCTGTCGTTACTGTGTCTCTTACCGTGCCATATTTATGCAAGTTCTTCGGTTAGACAACACAATGTGTTAACCGGAAAGCTTTTTGCGGAAAATGAGAATTTTCTTCAAATGTGCCTGCAGAGTTTTTATAAAGATATACTTACTCAGAGAAAAGATTTGTCTCTAGAAGCAGAGAGAACCTAGCAGAGAACCTGAATCGGAACTTTGGTGCAGTTTCAAGTGTGAACATTACTATTAACCACAGTTCTCTGTCACATTTTTAAGCCTATAATTATTCACATTTCATTTTGAAACACATGGATAAGCCTTTTTTTGCCATTTACATGTTTAGAGGAAAACCACGCTACTGTTACTTCTCATTGCATCTCTGTTATAGGTTATTGGAAAGCATATGGGTTTTGATTGACAAAAGCAGGGGTCATATGCAAGTTTGTTGCCAATATAAAGCGGCAATTGGAATTCTCACTTCATCAGGAAAAGGGTGACAATTTCTTAAATACAGTGACGTTTCTTTTTTTCAGGGGTGTCATTGCTCACAGTGGAATTGCAGTCATAGATTGCTCATGGGCCAAATTAGAAGAAACTCCCTTTAAGAGAATGAGGGGGAGTCATCTGCGGTTGCTGCCTTACTTGGTGGCTGCAAATCCTGTAAACTATGGTCGGCCATGCAAGCTGTCCTGCGTGGAAGCTTTTGCTGCAGCGTTTTGCATTGTTGGTAGGCTCAAGTTGTTGTTGATAGGCTCCTACTTTGTGAAGTATGTTGGTAGCAATTACTACATCCTTAATAAATCAGAAGTGATGGTCTGCAACAAAATAAACTGTAACGCTGTCACACGGGTCATCACTTTTGACTTTGGGATCAGCTTGTCTAGCATTCTTCTGAGTGCGTATTATCTGTGGAGAATTAATGTCAGCTACTAAACAGACACAAACTGATAATCTTCATTTTGTCTGGGTGGTGCATAATATTTTTATGTAACGCTTGCCAAAAGGCTATGAACTATTCTTGGATTCAGTTCCATGTTTCAAGTTAAACTGAAATTTGAAAATATTTGTAGCCTTTCCAAAAGTTTTAATCCCCAAACACTGAAAGAAACACTGGCAAGCATCTTTCTGTTGTATTGACATGTGTGCACATACTGAACGAGAAACATGTAAGCCAAGTAAAATCTCACACTAAAGAAGAAAACCAGTAATTTATTTTCTGTTTTAGGATTCCCAGATCTAGCCACCATTCTTCTAAGGAAATTTAAATGGGGTAAGGCATTTATTGACCTGAACAAAAATCTCTTGGAAAAATACGCAGCCTGTCATTGCCAGGACGACGTGCAAAGCATTGAGAAGGACTTTTTAGCCTGTGTCCCAGAAAAAAAAGACGAAGAAGTAGGTAAGAGAGAAACACAAAAACATTACACCTGCCCTTTTTCTAACTAGTTGCTTCACAGTTTTTTTCCTTAAATCTCATGAAAATACTAGCAAGGTGGCAGATAAGTGCTTTGCTGATATGTGTTCTTTTGTTCTCATACTGTGCTAAGAGTGGCCGTTTGCCCAGTTTTTTTCAACTAAAATAGGTGAAAATGACTAAAGCAATTGAATGCATAGAGTAGTGTATTCACAGCTGAAGTGTGAAGCAGTTACCCTTACTCAGATAACCAAACTGGAAAACTTAAGAGACAAAAGAAAATACTTCCTGGTTTTATATGCAGATGTTAAAAGCAGAGTATGAGTAAAAGGACTATTAATTGAGAGGGAACCGTCAGAGAAATATAGGTATACAAGTATACACAGCAAGTTAGTTACACATAAACCTAAGAAGGACCTTTAATAGACATATTTATATAGTCCTCAATCGAGATGTTTAAAATCAGGCCTATACAGATAATTAAAATAATTTATAATAAGTACAAGTAGTTTATTCCCAAACTTCCAGTAATTTATTGGAATCCCAGTACTTCAGGCTGTTTTCACAGGTGAGTGCTTGGTCTCATTCAAGATAGCACAAAGAAAGGCAAGTAAGAACATATGAAGAGATTATCCTAATTAACATTTGCCTTTCTTGGTGGTTAAGCCCTGTAAAATAAGCCAGGGGCTCACGTTGTAAGAAGATGGTTAACAGCCTTTGGTTGCTCTAAGCTTTGATCTCTTTGCCATGATACTGAATTAAAGCATCCCCTTAGTGGAAGCCTAACTAGTTAGATTAAACTGAAGGCAGCTCTTAAGGGGCAATATGGCTATGCCACTTAAAGCATACTTCCACCTACAATCCTCTGTATTTTCTGGTTGAACTGCAGAACCAAGGCTGTCAGCTTCGTTTGACTTTTCTGAGGCAACAGTTCTTCCCAGCTACTTCGGCCAAAGTAAACTCAGCCCCACCCATACTCAGCAAGCGCTAAACCTGGACAGCTGTAATTTACTTCTCAGAGGACATCAGCTAACTAGAGAGCCCTTTTTCTTAACCCAAGCCTTAGAAACCTACTTACACAATCTGACTACCTCTAGAGAGTTACTGAACCCCTTGCAGGGGGTAAGGGAAAAGAGTGAAATGTCTAGACTGGGCAGGCAGGATTTGGGTTATTTTCTCATCTCACAACTGTAAGAGATGTGAACTGGACTTTCTGTGCTTTCCCCTCCTTGGCATTCATATATAGGAAAATGAAGGCAGACCATTAAGCAAATGCTTTTTTCATCTTCTGCAGTTTTTCCTTTTTTTTCCAGATCCATTTGATGTTGACTTAGAAAAAGAATTTTCTAATCCCAACAGGCCAGTCAATTCTTCAGGGTAATGAAATTTAATTTAAATACTGGTTTTACTTATTGTAAGTTATTTCACTTTTATAATCTTGAAAAATGTTTCCAGTCTAGCACAAAGGAAGGAAGACTCTGAGGAGGACAGCGTGAGCAGTCCAGATGATGCCACTGAAAGCAGTGAAAGCACTGATGAGAGCAGTCCAGAAGAAATAAAAATCCCAAATAATCCCGAAGAGTCATAACATCTTCTATAAAGAAATTTTCTTGAGAATACTTGAGTGTCTTATTGACCTTGTAACTTGGTGCTTAACAAACCTTAGTCTCTGTTCAGGTCTTTTAATGCATGAAGGCTCTAGGTATTTAATTTTTAGGTAAGTATGGAATGTTGAATTATTTTGAAAGAGGTTGAAGCTTAGCTACAAGTTAAAAAATAACCCTGTCTTCTAACCAACGTATCTGGAAAGTGGTTTATAGGGGATTATTTTTAACTAATAGTGTATCAGGTAAACTTTCTTCTGGTCTGTATTTCAGCAGGAAAACGTGACTTAGCTATTGCACTGTTCATGGTACCTACCACACAAGGGGTCTTGACTTTTTGCAGGCTTGACCCTGCCATATGTATTCCAACTACTTCATCTACTTAGAATAAACTGAGCTAAGCTTGAAAGGAAAACATGCTTGGAATTGCTTTAACGTCTCAATATGTCTTTTCAGCCACTTTAATTGCTCATTTTATTTACTCTGATACAGTCCCTAGCAGCAACACAGTGTTTTGGCACTTCATATTCAGAACTGTACTGTGAAATTTCAGATCACAGGTTTATCAATGCTGTCTCTGTATATTTTCATCACTCAAAGTGGCACTGTACCAAGTCAGAAATACACATTGCCTGACCCTTAAGGCTTTGTGAGATTCATAGCAGCACTAATATCTTAGGTCACTTTTCCCTATGCCTTCCAGTTTGTATAGTGAAAATGAGCTGTTAGGAGTTGTTTTCTATATATTTAAATAAAATACTCTGGAGTTTCAAGCACCCAACTGAAACCCAAATTTTAGCAATCCTTCAGTAGAACTGGAGATACTAAGGACAATTTGTAGACTCACCTTCACAAATCAAAGTTCTTCACATCACAGGACTTTATCCTCTTGTCCCTCTACTACAACAGGGGTTAATACTAGTGCTACTGGAGCTAGAGCTGGGAGTAACAGCAGCAGTCTAACTGGTACAAATACTGAATTTCCCATTTAAAAACAAGAAGCACAAGTAAATTAATTCTACAAGGAGACTTCTCCTTTGATTCGTTTTTTTTTCAGTAACTTCCTTACCCATATGAAAGCTGTCCCAAATGTGCTGTTTTAGCAAGGATTTCTTAGATAGTGAAAAGAAAGCAATTCAACTTAAGTTTCAAAGGACTGAGAAAAATGTGAGCATGTCAGCTACTCTAATTTGGGGGAATAGCTTTTATATTATAAATCTATAGCAAATCAAATGGAGAGAAGCAAAACAGATATGGGAACAGAACGATGTAACTTAGATTAACTTAAGTGTTGAGCAGTAGCCATTTTTTAATAAAAGCACAGAAGAAGCTAAGCTCAGATGGAACAAAGCTTTTCATTTTTTTTTTTGTTTTGCAGAATGATTTTGACTTCTTTAAAAATAAAATTTAAAAAAGCAGTGAAAGTTTAATAGAAAGCGTATCAGCTTCACATACATGAAAGTAACTTACATAATTTAACAGATTTCCTTTACAGAAGGAAACTGTAATTGCATACAGCACATCCTTTCCCTAGAAGCTACATGCATTAACGTATGGAAAAAGGCACAAAATTATTTCTGATAAACAAGCACCATTAAAAATCCTCAGCATTCCTTGGACAACTTTTATTATTGTTCCTATCAGTCCAAAGCTCACATAATTTTATATTAACACGGTGACACCAGTATGCTGATCCCATTATGCACCGTAAGCAATTGGTCTCTGCCTGAGGAAGTGATCAGAGTTGACTTGCTGCTGTTAGCACACATGGCCCAAAGCAAGGGCCACATTCGTGCTCCGTATCAGGGACAGGCAAAACAAATGAAGGCAACATCTAAACAAAAGGCAAACTCAGCATCACGGGCCTTAAAAACAGGACTTGCACTGAATTGTGTTCAGAGCCATTTAAATGGCAGTCTTTTAATAATTTTTAATGAAGATAAATGAAACAAAGCCCTTTATATAAACAGTTTATTTACTCTAAACAGCAACACAGACAGAATGCCATATAAACACAAAGAAAGTGATGCAGAATAAGGATGCTGGCTAACTTTGGATCTCAGAGGCTCTTAAGCAATAACAACCTAGTTTCTGAAAGATAGAAAAAACAAATTCAGGGAGGGAAGGGGGTGGAGGGCATGATTTTTTTTTTCATACAGCCAGCTAGAGGCTAAATATAGTTCTAACATTTTAAAGCATGCCTGCATCAGATAGCAAAGTAACTAGAGATACTAGTGAATTTATAGAAGTATAAAAGTTTATAATTTTACAGCAGTTGAAATACTGACATCAATATTAAAATAAAAGCAAGTTTTACATAACAATCAAAAATACAAAAGACTGAAGGAAGAGACCCTGTATGAAAAAACTGGGGGCAATTCAGCAAATTTAGAACTGTATACAACTGGCGAATATGGAAAATGGCACACATACAACCCCCTCCCCTTATGTGGATATTAATTGTACATAGCAACATTACATTTTGCAAAAGTTTTGTAAACAAGTTCTTGCCAAACCAATCCCTTCCTTTTTAAGATGCTGCATGACAAATGCTTATGATGGTGCAAACTTCTTGGCTTGTGCTCGAACCCTCTTTTCATATTCCACTCTGTTTTGGCTGAAAAGAGAAAGGGTAATTATAGCTGGAGAAATCAGAGGCTGTATTCCAGAGTTAGTTTCATACTGAAGAGAAATAGAAGTCACTGCTGAAAGCAAACCCTTCTGGTAGCAATTCACAGAACACTACAATAAATTAAAGATTTTTCTGGACAAGTATGGTACTGTTCAACTAGTTACTTCCCAAACATCACCTGTTGCCAAACGACTGCACTGACTTCGTACGGTACCAGTCTCTTTGAACAGGTTTGCACCTACTCTTCTCAAGACCAACTGTACCTCACGTGCAAACATTCTGTCGTTCATCTGAAGTTTTCTACTCCCCACTCACATGAAAACCTGAGGTCATTAGCAACAAATTCCAGTATCCTAACAGTACAAAGTGAGGAGAGCAGTTCACTAACAGCTGGTGGACTTCATATGGTTTTAAATTATCACCTTTACTGCTTTGAAGAGAGAATTATCCTGTTCCTAAGAAACAAGAAAATTATAATGGCGTGCTAATTTCAGCCTTTATCTCTACAGACCATGACTCACAGATTTATCCTAATCTTCAGCTGGGAAAAAAAAGCTAGCTCAACATAGCTAAGTATAGCATATTTGCTACAGATTGATTAAACAAGTAAGTATTACTTGAGGGAATTATGTCCAGTCACCAAGTCTTAGGCTCAAGATGTAAAAGGGCAAGTTCTTTGTTTTCTGTTCTTGTGCCAATAATGGATAGTAGTAGCATAGTAAATCATCCATTTACTTTCAGTTGTCCATTTTGTATTAGCTGTCAGAAGTATGAATTGAGCTATGCAAAAATTTGTAAACATTACTCTTTTGCCAGAGATAGTTTAGAGTGACTCGATTTTGCAGACAGCTTTGCAGTAAATTTAACTTGCTTTCAGCTATGAAGGCTTGCTGCAGTGAAAGGAAAAAAAAAAAAGGGCAGAAAATTATATCCTCAAAACCTGACAGATTGAGGGGGGAGAAGAAACGAAACCAATTTTGGTCACATGCAATGAAAAATTGCTGTCAAACAGACTGAAGATACTCTCTTCTCATGAACACATTTACAAAGTTTATTCTACATTTTTTCTCTAAGTTGTATTGCATTGCCACACGAGAACAAAGCCTAGCTGTTAAGTCTCGCACCCATAGAATCCACACAGAAGAATGCCTTCTATAGGAGACCCTGAATGCTACAGCAAAGAGGAAGTAGGTTAACACATTAGGTACTGAATGACAGTACTAAACGTATCCTGAGAATAAATATTCTTATTTTGAAAGTTTATCAACTTGACTAAAAGACATCTATGTAAACAATGGTGCATCTTCTGCAGTATTTATCAACTGTGCCAACATTACAGATGTGTGCACAATACTGCTCTGTTTAACTTCTACCAGATATTCACTAAGTAGCAAGAGAGACACACTCTCAGACTGCAGAGTAATAGTAACCCATTTGAAATACACTGCAGGTCCAAGAGACATGAAAAGGATAAATGGGCGACTATACATACTTGAAGTAACAAAAATCATGCAGTATTTTAGGCTCAACAGGTATTCTTTCCCCCTGGAAGCACTTTAAACAGAAACAAGACTAGCCAAGACTGGCTTTGTACATACATGCATGTGGGAGATGATTTTAAAAAATAAAACACAGACTATCTATACATAGTATACATACAGAAGTATATTATTGAGGCCTTCCTCATCATTCCTGGCTCCTACAACTGTGGCCACTTAACTGTCTTCCATATGCACTCAACTTCATCAAGCCTTCAGTAAGTAATTCAAAAAATAACACTGAGTGAAGCCATTAATTAAATACAAGACACACTACCAATCCCTATGTTTACTTTTCACTAGGACCGTATTAAAAAACATATTTAACAAAGCTTGCATGTGCAGTCACATAAAATGTTATTTTTCAAACTTGGCACTCTCCTGGAGGCCTTTTCTGTCCAGAACTGTAATTCCACAATTCCATCTTGGTTCTTATTTCAGTAGCTGCCAGTGCCAAAAGCATTTTAAACAAATGTTTTGCTTCCCTAAAGATTATAGAACAGATATCCATTTTTAATAGTGGGAAAACTTTTAAGATTAAGCCTAAAAATAAAAAAAACAACCAACCCAAAAAGTCTAAAAGTCTCTTTAGCTCATAAGTTATCACCTTTCCTAATCAATGCAAACTTCAATCTGCTAAAGCTACAGGCCATTCTGTACTTTTCAACCTATTCTTTTGGAAGATGTAGTTTTCCAAAAAACGCCATGTTTCTTACAGTGACCACAGCTCTCCTTCATCCTCTTTAGGCACAAGTTCTTACAGGTACACACTACTGGGCAGAAATAAGTAACGCCTGTACTGACAAATGTGACTCGTTACCTAATTCAGTCTCCTCCTGGTTTCATGACACCATTACGCTGGTAAGGACTCTGCTGGGCTAGAATCGTGATAAAAATCATGATATAAGGAGTCTCCACACTTCATTGCTGTTGCTTTGCTATTAAAAGCTCCACTAGCCTAACAGCCATGAAGTAACCATTTTGTTCAAGTTTAGCACAATCTAGGCATCTCCACAGAATACAGCCACGAATCCCCTGGTCATTTGTAAAAACATTTGCATGTTATACTACAAGTAACAGACAACTGTAGGCAATATGACAGCTTTCAAGCTCATATGCAAAGATACTTACCAGTAAATTGTGTAAGCCTCTGCTTGAGCTGGGTCTTGAATATTTGGTTCATTTAGAAGTTCTTGTATTCCTAACAAGATCTATAGAAAAAGGAATAGAAGTAACAGG